CACTACGGTATGTTTTTGTGGTTTAACTGTCTTGCCTTGGAAAAGACTACTTAATCAGTAAAGCAAAGCAGTGAGTAATCAACCAAATCCCTGGGCACTAGCACAAAGGCTAATTTATGATGTGAAACTGATATGTTGCTTCCAGTCTGTTATATTTCAAATGCCAGTTCACTCAAGTTTTATAAGCTGTACTGTAGATATGCTAAAGTTTATTGTATACACTGATGATATCTTCATTTTCCTTTGTCACTAGAGTTGGTACATTTCTCTCTTGCTAACTCCATTATGGATGAGGCCTGAAGCATGAATTTGTGATTGTCATCTTTGCACGGTCATCTAATGCATTATTTCTAGAACTCAAATGACCCTGCAGTTAATGCAGTGGAAGAAAGGAGACATCCGAGAATTCTGCCCCCCAAGAAATGAATGAGGGTCTCTTCCTACACAAGTCTGAACTGCTCTCACAAAGTTCCTTAGTCCAGAATATATGGCATGAGGTGCTCAACTTCCATAGAATAGAGAGAGAGGGCACAAGTAATATTGTGTCAAATCATTTTATTACGATAGGTAAAGATTAAAAAGTCACTAGCCAGGTTTCCTTTATAATTGTTAGGATTGTTGTTTTTTTCTTAAAATGAAATGTAGAATCCTCTACCTTAACATTTCCACTCCATGCATCTGACGAAGTGGGTCTTTACCCATGAAATCTTATGGTCCAAAAAATCTGTTAGTCTATGAGGTGCCACGTGACTGCTCGTTATTTATGCAGATTCAGACTAACACAGCTACCCCCTAATACTTGTCTACCTTAACAGTAATTAGGACTGCTAATTTAAACACAAATGAAAAGCAACAGTTAAAGTTCTTATAGAAAAAATTATATTGCCACATTGTGCATACTAGGACATTTTGTGCTCAGTTACATCTGATATAAATCCAAAGTATATCTCTTGACATTATTGAGAGCAGAATTTGCCTCGCTGTGAGTGCTAACTATCTATTTAACCGATGGATTGAATAGAATACTATTGCATATGTTCTGCCACAATAATCCATTATAGACGAGATTTGACCATCTGGTGCCTCACGCATCTGAACTATATTAATAATAAAATCTAATGCTTTTATCATTAGATTTCAAAGTGCTTTACAAAGAAGGTAAATATCATCTACTTTTTAGATGGGGGAACTGAGGCACAAAGCAGTGAAGTGACTTAGCTAAGGTCACTCAGCAGGCCAGTGGCAGAGCAGGAAATTAAATCCATTTAATTCAAAAAGGAGGGGCATTATAACCAGATTTGCACTGTAATTTATTGATACAATTGATACTTTATGCTTCACCATTAAGTTGCATTATATTAAAATTAACTACAGGTTGAACCTCTCTCATTCTGCATTCTGGGTACCTGACCAGTGTCAAACCAGAAAATATGCCGAATCTCAGGAGGTCAATATTGTCTAGCAGCATTACAAACACTTCCACTGCTTACTGGGCTCCTAGAAGACATTTTGGGATATTTTAGAGTTAAATAACAGCCCAGAACACTGAGCCAGGACTGGTGGCTGTAAACAAACTTTATGGGACCACAGGAAACTTGGCCACACCCATGATAAGTGGATGTCTGGCTAACTAAAATCATGCTCGACCATGGATGTTGCCAGACCAGAGAGTACTGGACTAGAGAGGTTCAACCTACATAAGCAGATTCTATGTCAGATTTTTTTCCCATTCTCCTGGCTAAAAAGCCAACACTAATAACTGGAATATCTTGAAGTTTTTATGATGACTCAAATCATTATTCTTAATTGGAGACAACATTATATTTCAGATAAAGCACAAACCAGGAATTAAGAGGCTGGTGTTCTGTTCATGGCTATGCCATTGGGTTTTGTATGATCTTGGGCAAATTGTTTAACCTTTATGTGCTCCAGCCCCTGTGTAAAAGTGGCTTTTCACAACATAGCACACAAAAATGAAGAAGAAACATGTGAATTCCCTCTTCAAAAGAAGCCCAAAATTGCTGCCAGACCAGCTAATGTTTGATATCTAAAGTTATTTGCTGTTGGTAGTAAGGATTTTAAATATCGGTTAATTGAATAGTCAAGAAACCTCATGAATTCTTATCAGTTACTCGACTATTCTATAGTCCCTGGAGGCTGGACCAGCAGCCAGTGCAATCTGACCCCACTACCGAGGAGCGCCCTGCTACTCCACATCGTTGCCTCTGTAGCAGAGACAGCAATGTAGGATGCCAGGCGGGAGCAGGTCTGCAAGGGTAGCTAGTTTAAAAACCAGCTCCCACTGTAGACCAGCTGCCTGTCGCTCCATGCTGCTGCCTCTGATACAAAGGTGGCAGCAACCCCTGTCCGGGGGAGGGGGTCTCAACGCCTGGACCCGGCATGAGCTGGAACTGAGCTGGGCTGGCTGCCTGCCTGCCTCCCAGTACACTTTAAATGTAGAGCTACAACAGATGTAGGTCCCAGACTCAGCACAAGCCAGGACTGAGATAGGCTGCTGGTCAACCTGCTAAAAAATTTACTGGTGGGGATCGCAGGGGAAATGCGTGAAGTCTATAGCATTAACCTATAAGCTTTTGCTTATTGGTTAATTGGTTAATCAACTACACTATTACATCCTTAGTTAGTAAGATAATATAGCAATATTGAAACCACACACTATGCCTTATATCTTGGTTGGCAGTTTAGAAGATCATGACTTAACTGTGGAATCTCTAGTGCAGACAAAATGCTGGTGTCCCTGTGTTTTAAGTGCCATAATACTACAAATCGTGTGTTGAAAAATAAAAGAAGGAGCTTAACATCATGAGAGTTTAGGGGGAGTATTTGTTTTCTAATTTCTGAGACTTTAGCAGGGTACAATTGAGTCACATTTGCAAGATTTGCTTTGCAGCCATGAAAACTAGAAAAAAATTAAAGTTAACATTTTAATTCAGTCCCTTGATTCCAGTCAATGGGGCTTTAAGCAGCACACCAAATATTACAAGATTCCTGATTAAATGCTTGAGAATTGGCAACACTGGTACTAAGTCCTATAAGCCTGCTCAGATCTATAAATGTGGGCAGCTGCCTGGATCTGTATCTACAGTGGCCTTGCAATCATTATTGCCACAAGTTCAGCACCACCAGTGGTCGTAAGTAAGGATGAAATTTTTTGGCAGTCTGTATAAAAGTGTGTGGAGCTTAATAGAGTCCTCCCAGCTTATTAGAGTCCTCCCAAGGTCTCCCCACTCTTTTAGAAAATCTTATCAGAGACAAGCAGACCATGGAACCTGAACTCTCCTCTCCAGCCTAGAAATGTTCCCTCTAGGTCAGGATTGAAGACCATCAGCAGAACAATGGGAAGAACTGGCATCATCCTGTCTTACCAATAGTGTAGATAAATAGGCGCATCAACCTCCAGGGCTGAGAATCTGACATTTTTCAACCACAATTTATAAAGAAAAACAAACTCTGTGGAACTTTTTGTCCCTAATTAATAGCGAGGACTTTACTAATGTAACTGATACATTCTATGACAGCTAGCAGATCTCTCCATAGAAAGTATAACAAATCCAGTGCACCAATAGTGATTTAGAAGGAAGTTTTGCAAGACAAGGTATTGTAGGACCCAAATGTCTGTTTCTCCTCTTATCATGACATATTTTAACAAACCTCTATAAGAATGAATTGACTTTTTTTTTAGTGTACTTGTTCTTGCTAACTTTGTATATAACTGTGTTTCAGGAGCAGAGTATTAGGTGATCATCCAAATGTAATATCCAGTTTTTATTTTTTGAATAGAAAATAAAAAATAAAGCCATTTAATACTGGCAACTGAGCATGCGCGCGCGCACACACACTAAGGGATTTTAGTTCAGGTATTCTCAGTGAGACCAATTATGGGATAACATACCACCTTGCAGAGGATCAATTATGTCCATTTAAAATTACTTCAATAGATTCTCCTTGCCTATTTTTAGAGGAAGCTATTTTTGACCTTACTTGAAATGACATTAAATATACAGTTCTATATTGAAACAGCTTTAAAAGGTAATGATCTTCTATTTATAACATACTTATTCAGATGGCACCAGGACACTTCGTAAGTGTTACTAAAATTGTACAAACCTTTACACAGAAATAGATAACACATAATACCCTAATGTACAATGTGTATATCTACAGTATGTATTATATTATCAACTACTGAAATGCAGCTGCATCTGAGTTAGGATGCAATGGTCCACAGCAGCACTATGTAACAGTCTGGAACCATGGTGTCCAACATTCTAGCCATTAGCCACATATAGCTATTTGGCTTGAATAATGTGGCTATTTGGCCAGTTGAGTGTGGTTACTTCGCTATAGCAGTAGTCACTAAAGTGGCTTCTGCTGCAGAACTGGTTGAACACCATGGGTCTAGAACAAGAATTGACAGTATCAGGCCACATCTAGAAGTGATAAATAGGATGTATCATTATGTTGAGCAATAGTATATAACTTTCTGAAAGCTAGACTGATCATGTTTATAATGACAGTCACTACCAGTGTAAACCTCAGCACATAAGGTCTTGGTAGTAGGAGCCTAAAAAGTTTTCTAAGATGAATCATTAGAGTGGCATAAGTGGGCCACAATTTCATCTATACTGGAGAATGTATGGATTCAGTGCAGCCTCTGCTAGTGTTTAGCTATAGCAACAACAACAAAAAAGTCTCCCACTCTTAGCATCATTTTATCTTTTTAAACTCTCTTTTAATTATCTCCCCATGATAATCCTGCTTCTTTCCTCTTTTATGCCCATCCAGTAACGTATAATTTGCAATACCATGTGCATCACCTCATTATATGCCATTGAGACTGTGAAGGTATTTAGGTCAGGAGGATATAATTATTCCTTCCTTTTTGTGAAAAGCATCACAGGATCTTTTAGGGCTGCATTTTTAGTAACCTCAAACTGACTGCTAAATTTCCACTTTGCAGTGTTCCATGCATGAAACCCCACATTCTGGCTACCTAGAATCAGGTAGTTCGATGTCTGTGTCCCTGACTTACACATCCAAATACTGTGTGTGCATACAGAGTGGGTCTGTGCACACACAATATTTAAGGGCAAACTTATAGCCTTTTTTCAAAATTGTGCCCATAATAATTATAAGAAGTCAAAGGTGTCTGTTTCATGTTAGGCAAAAAACAGCATCTCTAGCACCAAGCTGACCTTTAGTCAATACTTGGATGGGACATGAGAGACCTCTATGGAAAGTCTTGGTAGTGTAAGAAGTGGTGCTAGAAATTCAATATCTGCACTCAAAGGGCAGCATAGTGTTAGAGATGCTTGTAATTGACTTGACTTCTTGTAATTATTATGGGCACAATTTTGAAAAATGGCTGTAAGTTTGCCCCTAAATATTGTGTGCGTACAAACTCACCCCGCTTGTACACACACACAGTATTTGGATGTGTAAGTTGGGGACACAGACATCTAACTACCTGATTCTAGGTAGCCTGAATGCAGGGTTTTATGCACAGAACATTGCAAAGTGCAAATTTAGAAGTCAAATTTGTGGTTCTAAGAATGCAGTCCTAAAAAAGACCCTGCTTTGTAATCAGAGCTATGGAGATCACAGGTTGAAGTGACATGTGTCCTCATAACCAAGGAATTCACTTACAAACTAGAGTAAAATTAAAATTTTCCTTTTGCTCAGTAATACCTACTTCTTTAATAGGTACGTAATATATCCTGAATAGTCACTGTTGCTCTGAGATTCTGTCATAATCTAGGAACAATTATGGATGTTTTTCATTCTGAATTTCCTTACCATAAATGTTAATATTTTTTATAACATGATGCAAAGGGAAAGTTCATTGTTACAATGTGAATTTGTCACCAGACATATTTGTTCCAGTCATATTCATTTTTTTCTAGTTTCTGGTTACAATTTAATCTTGACCTGGTTTGCACTATTGAAATGAAGTAGAGACTGCATTTAAAGAAATAGCACATTGAGAGGGACTTTGTAGTGAAGTTGTGATGCCCTTTATTTTTCTTTAAAAAAAACTGATGTAAGTATATGGTTATGTCTTATTAGATACGCCACAATACCCATGATTACAGTTGTCTGTGGTGTAATTGTTGTCTACTAAAGGTCCTGTGGTCTAGCAATTAGACCAGCGGACCGAGTAAGGAGTCCTGGATCTGCCACTGACTTGCTATATAAACTTGAATGAGTCTCATAATCTCTCTGAGTTTCCTTTTCATTCTCTGTAAAACAGAGAGATTAATTTATGTGTATTAAATATAGGAAGTCTATGGTAAACGCAAGAACAGAATATAGGAAACCTTATTGCTAGAGATGTCCCTTGGCCACAAGAACATTCTTCTTTTCCTGGGGTCTTACTGAGACTCTGAGGTTTTTGTCTTAGAAGTTGAGAGGTCTTGTAATATAGTGACTTTCTTTACACTAAAATTCTCTGATTTAGACTTATCTCCTGGTTTGGAGACTGCAGAAACCAAAAAAATGAAGTGGACACTGAAATAAAGCTGTGGCATATAAATAAACCAGAGAGCAGCCTTTTAATAACAGCAGTTCTTTGTCTTCTGACTTTATGGCCTAACGGCTGTGGCTCAAAAGGATAAAAATACAACACTCCATGCAATGACTAATTACTCAAAATTCTGTTGATCAGCAGAAGTGGAACTTGTGGTTGACTCTTAATATTATCAGATGTCTTTGCTATTTAATAATCTCCCATAGCTGTGCATTATTTAACATGTAGTTTGCACAAAGAACACTGACTTTGTTTCAGCTATCTCTCAACAAAAAATAAATGCAGCTGCTAGTAAATTTGGCAATGTGTTTGATGGAAACTTCTGTAACTTCTTAAGAGGAGAAAAATGTTGTATGCTTAACCTTGTCCTACCCATAACTGTAGCAAGAGATGGGAAAGGGCACGGACCACAAAAGAGAGGTCCTATATAAAAAGTACAGT